AAAAAAAAAAAAAAAAAAGAAAGAAATTTCTGTTTTAAAAGGTCTTCTGAAAGTAAGATTGGCCATTTTAAGTAGCCTGGATAAAAGCATTAATAAATATCCTGTAGGCTATAGCCTGCTTTTTTGAGAAATGTACTAACTGATATGATTCTTTTCCAGATATGAGAATTGAATTTGCTTTTTGAGTTAGAGAAAGGAAGGGGAAGAGTACATGTGAGTGTGTATGTGTGTGTGTATATATGCACACGTGTATGTGTATACTTGTGTGTGTACATGTGTATATATATGTGTATAGATATGTATATGTGTGTACATGTGTATATATGTGTATAGATATATATGTGTGTGTATATGTGTATATATATATTTTTCCTTTTTTTTAATTGAGATAAGATCTTGCTCTGTCACCTGGGCATCATCATAGCTCTCTACAATCTCAAACTCCTGGGTTCAAACAATTCTCCTGCTTCAGCCTCCTGAGTAGCTGGGACTACCAGTGTGTGCCGTCACATCCAGCTAATTGTTCTTTTTTTGTTGTTGTAGAGATGGTGGGGGGTGTCTCGCTCTTGCTCAGGCTGGTCTCAAACTCGTGGTCTCAATCGATCCTCCCACCTCTGCCTTCCAAAGTGCTGGTATTATAGGTGTGAGCCTCTGCACTTTGCTGGAATTGTGTTTTCATTGGAGTTTAGGTTAGTCATGGGCTTCTAATATGGTAATAGCTTCAGTGATTGTGAAAAGACTAAGAAGTCTCACATAGAACTAAACAAGGATTTTTGTAGTCTCTTTTATTTCATTATGAGGGAAGGGCTGGTGGTTATGGAGAATTTTGTGTGGTCCTACCTTTGAATCCTCCGACCGCTCCTGTCCCTCCGTCCACCCGACCCGCCTTCAGTTAGGCAGCTGACCTTTCCAGTTGTCTGCTTGTAGCTCCTCAACCTTGCATGGGTTGGACTTGATGTAGGAAGATGATGTCATTAACCCATGGAATTGTGATTTTACTTTCATCCTTTTGTTTTGAAATAGTCAAGTAAATCACATCAGTCTCATTGCTGAATGGCTAGTGGTGTTCAGAGCCCCTGAAGGGCTCCACTGAGAAGGTTCAGGAGTCAAAAAACTTGGGATCAAATAAGCATTTTAAGAAATGCTGCACACCAGTCGTGATAATTACAAACAGGAAATAGCCTCAGTGTCCAGCAGTGAGTGAACAAATACAGGAAATGGCACACCCAGTGGACACTCGTCAGCCTTAAAGAGGAGACCCTGTCACTTGTGACAGCCTGGAGGAGCCTGGGGGACGTTATGTGAAGTGAAACAGCCCGGCCAGGAGGACAGAGAGGAGCTTTGCTTTTGAAATCATGGGTGGTGTTGCTCATGGGTGGTGTCACGTATCTGTGGATCCGTAAAAGTTAGAGACAGTGCATGTAGAAGGGAGGCTTGTGTGGTGTGGGGGACGGAAGATTTTGGTCAAACGGTACAAAGTTTCTGTTGTATGTAAGAAACAGGCTCCAGAGACCTATCGTGCTCCCTGGTGACTATAGTTAATAATTACACGCTGGAGTTGGGAATCTCTGGGAAGAGATTGTCAGTGTTCTCACTGTGTAAATGTAGGTTTCCAAGGTAAGGCATATGTTAATTTGCTTGTATGCTTACTTCAGAATATCATGTTGTACACCATAAATATGTGGAATTTTCGTCAATTAAAAAAATCTTTTAAAAAAAAGCAGTGCTGCGCACCGTTTCTTTGTCCTGGGGTGCACAGTGCATTCTAGCGTGTTCAAGCCTCTGACAAGTCCTGCAGTCCAGACGTCCAGTGCACTTGGCTTAATCACGTGTTTCTTAGACCCCTTTTGACCACAGAATCTACTTTGCCCATAATATCGTCTGGAATTAGTAATCTATAAAAGCCCTTTGGAAAACATGGCTCTAATTGAAATCATCCAAATCCCCTTCTACCCAGATTTTCTAAGTTTCCCAAGCTATTGGTGCTTCCAGAACCACACCTGCTCTGAGCCAGAAGCGCAGGAAGTTGTTTCTCATTTGAATGTTCTTGTCTCTATACGTTGCCCTGCACGTCCTGGGGTCCAGGGGTTTCAGTAAGGGTGGTGCAGGTCATTGTTCTCTAAGTATAATTATATCGTGTCTGCAAACTTGGCTTTCCTGAAAACAAAACTTTACTCATTAATTGCCTTTTATTTATTTTTGCAGGGGAACACTATTTAATCTCTTGGCAATTTTAATTAGTGAGCCTCAGATTCCAAAATCTTATCCTGTGTTTGATATGCAGTTGGCGGCCGATTCAACTTTGGTTGAAATGTCTTTTGATGCTAAGGTGAGGTGACAATTTCTGGGGCAAACTATGATCTTTTTCCCTTTTAATGTGGACCACGACACTGTAGAATATATAAATATAATCCAGTCAAAAGAGTAAATATCTTGTCATGAACCTCAAAACTCGGATAACTATTTTGTGAAATTAATATATTCATTTTTGTATGTTTTAATGTACAAAGACGAAGAAAAATAGTTAGCATTTTTATTTAAATTAGATAAATCTGTTTCTATCCCTCTCTGCTCAAACCATTGATTGACATGTAATTCTATAGTATGGGTCTAAATGGGGGTGAAGAGTCACCATCTTAGAGATTTTAGGTCAGTTCTCTTGTTCTAGCTCTCCATCTCCCTGCCTAGATGAGAGTGTAAACTCAGAGTTATTTGTTTCTCTAAGGTTGTACTAAAACTTGAGAAATATCAGACTGCTTAGAAAGTGTGTGTTCTGAGAGAAAATTTATTTTATTTTGATCCAGGATTTTTTTTTTAAGGATGGGGCATGATTTGTTCTTATAGATATAATCAGAGTTATATTTTAGAAAGCTCTTTAATTTATTGAGCCTCTTTTTTTTTTTTTTTTTTTGAGACAGAGTCTCATTATGTTGCCATGGCGTCACAGCTCACAGCAATCTCAAACTCCGGCACAAGGGATTCTCTTGTCTCAGCCTCCCGAGTAGCTGGGATACAGGTGCCCACCACAACGCTGGCTATTTTTAGAGATGGGGTCCCACTCTTGCTCAGGCTGGTCTTGAACCTATGAGCTCAGGCAGTAATGCATTGTTCTTGGCCTCGCGGAGTGCTGGGATTTGGAGGCGTGAGCCACCAGGCCCGGCCGCCTCCTTTTCTTTATAACTCTGCATTTGCCTGTTTGACTGTTGGGCTGACATTTGTTCCCCGACTGGGCTGTGTGTTCCCCAGGGCAGGTGCCTCGTCCGTGTCAGCTCCTGTGTGTCCCCAGCACCTCACACGGCGCGTGACGCATGTGTGTTGAGCAAATAAATGAAGGAGAAGAAGAGGAATGTAGTTGTAAAGAGGATAGACTCCAGAAATGTTTAGGACATTGAGAGGTTGATAGGAAAATAAAGTGTGAAGATTAGAATATGACTTTTAGATTCTGGCCTGAGAGTCAGACAAGAATTACAGTAAAAAGAGTGGGTTCAAAGGAAGAATAATAGCTTGGTTTTCGATTTCCCTGTGGTATTTCCATTTGAAAATCTAACATACCAAGTGGCTTATGGGCCAGAAGACAGCCTCAACGTTTGGAGTTCTTGAGAACAAAATGTCTCTAATCCCAGGATTCAGCCAGGCCACAGGGGAAGTCCTAGTTCAAGTTGAGCATAAGCCTAAATTCCCAGCACCTCTCCCCTCAACTCAGGGGCACCTCTTTATATCCTTAAAAGCCAACGGGGCTGATGATCTGATTGATTTTGTAGACCAAGTATGCGATTTTTTTTTTTTAGCATTCTGTGGCCCCTCATATCTTCTTTCCTTGACTCATTTGTTGAAACACCATTAAAAGCATAGTCCTTTTATGAGAGCACTTCCTTGAGAATGATAGAACCAAATGGAACAGGAAAATGAACTGTACTGTTTCCAGTTAACCAAAAATGCTTTATGGTGGGGTGTGATGGCTCATGCCAGTAATGCTGCCATTCTGAGAGGGGAATCCCTTGAGCTCAGGAGTTAAAGCACAGCCTAAGCAAGAGCCAGACCCTGTCTCCACACACACACACACACACAAAAGAAAAACTAGCCAGGCATGGTGGCAGGCACCTGTGGTCCCAGCTACTCAGAAGGCTGAGGCAGCAGGATCACTTGAGCCCAGGAATTGGAGATTGCTGTGAGCTATGATGATGTCACAGCACTCTAGCCTGGGTGACAGAGTGAAACTTTATCTCAAAAGAAAAGTTTTGTTCTAAGTACCTAATGAGAATCAAGAGAAATTACTATTTTCTGTCCCAGTCTATGATATTGATTATTCTTGAAAATTCTAGTTACAGAAGCTTATCCTGGAATACACAGACACAGCCACCGCACTTGTATATGAGATCCTTCTTGTGTCTCAGCAGGTACCGTATCTCTTGGGTGACCTCGTACTGTGTGACTATGTTATATGCAGCTTGTCTGTTATACCTCTCGGCTGACCTCATACTATGTGGCTACTGTACATTCTATATAGCTTGTCTGTTATGTATCTCATGTGATCACATACTATGTGGCTATTATACATTATATGCAGCTTGTCTGTTACACATCTCATGTGACCTTGTACTATGTGGCTATTATTTATTACAGGCATGCCACATTATTACATATGATCAGTGATATGGCAGAATGCTTGTCAGAGAGACGTCTCCAAATTGGTGACCTCAATGACACCACTTTTGCTCTCAAGAGCTCTTCTGGCTTATTTTCCAAAATACTGATTTTGAAGATTTGATTAACCAGGATAAAACGTATTTGAGAATGAGTATCCTGTTAGATACAACTTGAACTTCATGAATATGACTTGTTTATTTCCTTGACTCTCTTAGGGGAACCTTGGATTGGGTTCCACAGAGTTTGCTATCAGCTGGGTGATGTCCTTTCTGCAAAGCTGTCCTCCCACTGTAAGTACCTGGGGGCAAAAGCAGAATTAGCTCTCAAGCTTAATTAAACAGATGCTCTTGTGCTTAATTAATCAAACACAAATTTTCTCTATGGTGTAGTCAAGTTTATCAGTCAGAAGGAAATTGTAAATTTGATAGCTTTATTACTTAATTAAAACAAAATGTTTTTACATTTTGGGCCTAAATATTTAAGGTACTGAAATGGTATCTTAAATATAGTATATATTTATATGAAAAACTAAGCCTAGAGTCTTAAGATAAACGTAGACAACAGGATATTCAATTATTGGCTCTGTAATTAGTCAAAGGATAGGCATTCACCTTAAGTAGCCAGTATGCACATAACTTGGGACCGCCTGTGCACTGTCCTGCAGCCACCATCCTGGTCCCTGTCACCGTTTCTCTTTGACAGTACAAGCCCATCTCAGCAGTCTCTTCCCATCTTCCCACCAGATGGTAGCTCAAGGGATCTATTTAAAATGAGTATCTGATTGTTAGCCCTTGCTTTAAACCCTCAGCTGCTTTTTCCTTATGAATAAAGACTAGATTTAACCTGGACCTACGGCGCCTCTGGTCTTTCCCCCTCCAGCCCCATGGGTCTCTTCCTCACTGTCCCCTCCCCACTCCAGCTCCATCTAAGGACCTTTCCCACTGCCTGTCTGAGGCTCTCCCTGCCCTTGACCACCTGGTCAGCTCCTTCCCATCCTTCAGGCCTCAGTGACCATCCTGGAGTGGGGTAATGACAGATGATAGGGCCCTTGGTTCACAAGGCTTGTCACTATTGTGGGTTACATTTGTTTGAATATTGGGGTCTGCCCTGTCACAGCCCTCATGCCCACATGCCAGGGTAGGATTGGACTTCCTCCCTCCCGATTTGAAATTCGGTGGGGCTCTGTTTGTACTTTGGCCAATGAAATGTGTGTGGAAGTGGCCTGTGTCACTTCTTGGCAGCAGCGTCAGAGTGAGTGCATGCCTCCTCCCACATGCTCCCCTTCTGGGCTGGTAATGGCTACATTCCACAAGCTGATGGCCCCAGTGACCACAGTGAGCAGAGCCCCTACTGACCCTTTGGGACATTCAGTGGGAACAAGTAAACCTTTGTTTCTGTGCCTGTGTAGCCTTGTTCATCATGACAGACACACCTTCTCCAGCAGACAGCAGGTGCCCTGAGTGCAGTGTCTGTCTTGCTGGGCGCTCAGTAGGTCTTGATAAAATAACTGCAGAGTTAATTCTTTTTTTTGAGACAAAGTCTCAAGTTGTTACCCTGGGTAGTGTGCCGTGACATCACAGCTCACAGCAACCTCACACTCTTGGGCTTAAGTGATTTTCTTGCTTCAGCCTCCCAAGTAGCTGGGACTACAGGCACCTGCAACAATGCCCAGCTATTTTTGAAGATGAGGTCTCGCCCTGGCTCAGCTGGTCTTGAGCCAGCTGGTCTTGAGCTCAGGCAATCCACCTGCCTGGCCTCCCAGAGTGCTGGAATCACAGGTGTGAGCCCCCACACCAGCCTCTTATGAAGACTTTGTCCCTCTGTCCTCTCACTCCTCCAAACCTCCTTTCTCTTTATTCATTCACATATTCAGAGTCAGCCAATATACATTTAACTGGAAATAGCTTCAGAAGGTGGGAACCCCAGCTAAATCCTCCCCTGCTGATGGAGGATGTGATGTGGAGTAAGGTGCTGTCTTTCTGTATGTGGACTTGCCTCTGATGACATCTGGGTTCCCTGCTTTGAGCTGTTTTCTGGATAGCCAGCTGCCTTATAGGGAGACTGAGCCCGTAATCTTGCCCCCAGCACAGCACACGGACCCCAGCAGGCGTCAGCTGTCCGGCCCACTTCAAGGAAGTTTGTAAAGCTGTGGCTGCTCATGGTGATGGGAGCTCTTATGTGCGAGGTGTGAGACCCCCCACTTTTTCTATGCCATGGTTAGGGTGACCAGATTTTAACTTCAGTAAGGCGAGACAACATGGGGGGGGTGGGGCGGGGCCAGGCAGGGGACGGGGCAGTGCAGGACCTGACAACAATGCAAACTTTGATAAACAGTTCTCAATAATCATTTCTCAGCAATTATTTGTTATTATTACAGTTTAACATTATAAAAAAAAATTTTTTTTTTGAGACGGAGCCTCAAGCTATCCCCCTGGGTAGAGTGCCATGGCATCACAGCTCACAGCAACCTCCAACTCCTGGGCTCAAGCGAGTCTCCTGCCTCCGCCTCCCAAGTAGCTGGGACTATAGGTGCCTGCCACAATGCCTGGCCATTTTTTGGTTGCAGCTGTCATTGTTGTTTGGTGGGCCCGGGCTGGGGATTCAAACCTGCCACCTTAGGTGTATGTGGCTGGGGCCTTAGCCGCTTGAGCCACAGGCGCCGAGCCAACATTATAAAATTAACAAAAATAATATAAAACTCATATTCTGGCAGAATAGCCACATGGCAGCTGAAAACCGTATATTCCCTTCTTGTTCTCCCACCCGTTCATGCATTCTTTCCAAAAATCAGGACTTTTTAAAAATGCCGCAGGACATGGGACAAATTATTGAAAAGCAGAACTGTCCTGCCAAAAGTGGGACATCTGGTCACCCTAGCCATGGTTGGGGACTCTGTCATACGAACTGACCTGTGGAAATCTGGGGTCCTACGGACTCCAAGTGACAGGAAAGTTTCTTTTTTTAATTTTTAATTATTATTTTTTCATTGTTGGGGTTTATTGAGGGTACACAAATCCAGGTTACACTGATTGCTTTAAACCAGCTTCTAGAGTTGTTTCACTAAAGAGACTGAGTACGAGGTCGGAGGCCAGTCTGTGACCACGAACTGTGTTAAGGTGAAGGGCAGAAAAAGGCAAAGGGGTCAGCGACCCTAGTGAGTGCTTCAGTTCACCCAGGTCTAAACGTTGTGGGCAGAAACAGCAGCTGAGAGAACACTGCAAAGGAAGCTGCCTGCCCTCCGGGGTGGCCAGCTCTGGGTGTCTTACCCGGCTAGAGCGAGGTGCTATGAGAAGTTAACATTTTAATCCTGTTCAGCTGTAAGACTCTGACAAAAATAAATGAACAAAAATAAAAACATAATTCCTAGGTGGCTAATCAGCATTACTCTTCCCCTGCCCAGACCCTCGCCATGTTTGCCAGACCATATGTCTTCAGTCGATGGCTGTAACGTTTAGGGCATGTGTGCAAACGGATTTGGACTGCTGGGGAGGTGTCAGAAGCAACGCACACCACAGAACAGGCGGCCCTCGCCCTGAGGCTGGTCAGTGGCCCGCAGGTGGCCTGGTTAGAGCAGGAAAGAGCACTAGCATTCTTTTCCACAATAACCCACATTTGTGGATAATGATTTGAAAATATCAAAACCATAACACACAGGAAGACCTGTGCCAGTTATGCATAAGACCAGTTGCCCCCTACAAGCAGGGTCAGAGCTGTGGTAACTTTCAAAGAAGTTGGGGTCCGAAGTGGGAGGAGAGCACTGGAAGCGGGAACACACAACTTCCTGTGTGTTATGGTTCTTATGCAAGAAAAGCAGGAATCCAACATCTTCCAGTGTTGGTCCTCTCCACTTTCATCTCCCCCTGAGAAATGCCCCAGAAGTGCTGTCAGGGAAAGCCCCACCATCAGCATCCTCGTGTCAGGCCTGGTTTCCTGTGCTTTCTCACTTAGAATAGTGTTTCTCAAGGTGCGTCCAGGGAACAAATCCATCCCAATTGTCTCTGATCAATACCTGGAGGGTGGCGCCCAGTGTTCTGCATTTTAGCAAATTGCCCCGGTGATTTTATGCACATTGAAATCTGAGAGCCACCACTGTGTAGGGAGATAAACCATCTTCCTACTTGTGTCAGCCTGTCCTGCGCTGCTATGAAGAACTGCCTGAGACTGGGTAATTTATAAAGAAAAGAAGCTTATTTGGCTGATGCTTCTGCTGATGTACAGGAGACGTGCTGTCTGCATCTGCTCTGGGTCAGGCTTCAGGGAGCTTCCAGTCGGGGCTGAGCCGAGGGGCCGAGGGGCCGAGGGGCCAGCAGGTGTTAAGGGGCAGAAGGAGCCAACAGAGAGGGAGGAGCTGGCACCAGGCTGTCACTTGGACTAACAAAGTGAGAACTTGCTCATCACTGCAGAGACGGCACCAGCCCTTCCTGGGGAAACCTCCCTGTGACTCACCTCCCACCACCTCTCACAGGGCTGACCTCCTAGGATCAGATCTCCACAGGAGGTTGGGAGCAGCCAAAGCTCCAAACCGCGTCACTCCTGGAAGTTTCATTTTGTCCCCATTCCCGCTTCCAGTGCTCTCCTCCCACTTTAGACCCCAACTTCTTTGAAAGTCACCACAGCTTTGACCCTACTTGTAGGGGACAACTGGTAAACCAGGTTGATCTGCGATCTGGTGATGTCAAAAGACTAAATGATAACAAATTTAATTTTGAAATCTCAGTTGGCTTTATGTGCACTTGTATCTAGAACAGAATAAGTGATGTGATGTGCTGAGCAGAAGGGCTCAGCTTTCCCGAGGAGGGCTGAAGACAGCAAAGGCAGGGGCCACGTGTGTCCGTCACGGCAGGGCAGGACCCAGAGACAGAACAGTAGCAAAACAGCGAGGGACTAACATCCACTGCGTCAGGCCACTTCTGTGTAGATTAAAGTGGCGGAGCTTCATCACTGTGCTGATTGAGGACTGTGACCTGGCCTCTCTGGGGAACTGGCTGCTGTCACAGTCTGGAGGTCAGACCCCCCCCTCCCCAGTTAGGGTTTGTCAATGTGGGACTTTAGCACAGGGGCCTCCCTTCTGATTTTTAGTCTAGTCTAGTGCAGAAGCTTAGTTTGAAGTAAGAGCCTCCTATAATTTTTATTTGACACTGAGTACTTGGCAGGGGGCTGTGAGGACCCCAGGCCGGGTTTGGGCTTTCTTGGGGTGCCATTAGCAAGTGGCCTCCAGAATCCTAAAGCACTTTGACTCGGCACCAAAAGAGGAAACCAGGCGGCAGCCGCAGAGCTGGGGTGAAAAGGCGAAGCCAGGCGGCAGCGGTGATTTAACAGAAAAGCTAAATTTTTTTAAGCAGATAGAACACACCTGAGAGGGAGGTGCGGGTCTCTTCCTGGGAAGGCGGAGGGGGGGTGCGCCTTGCAGACTGTGTGCCTGGTGTTTACTCCCCAGCGCCTGCCTCTAATGTTGATGTGTGTCTTTCTCCTGGGGTCTTGGTCAAGCTGACTCCACACCACTCTTACTAACGTCTCCTTTGGAAAGTCTTCAAGATAGTAATAGGGCATCCATCAATCATGGGATGCTGACTAGCTTCTTTTTTAAAAAGTTCTTACTGGGCTCGGCACCTGTGGCTCAAGCAGCTAAGGTGCCAGCCACATAGACCTGAGCTGGTGGGTTCGAATCCAGCCCGGGCCGACAAACAACAATGACGGCTGCAACCAAAAAGTAGCCGGGTGTTGTGGTGGGCACCTGTACTCCCAGCTACTTGGGAGGCAGAGGCAGGAGACTCGCTTGAGCCCAGGAGTTGGAGGTTTCTGTGAGCTGTGATGCCACAGCACTCTACCTAGGGCAATAGCTTGAGGCTCTGTCTCTCAAAAAAAAAAAAGTTCTTACTAATCATTCCTTCTGTGGAGGTCTTAGGAGTTGAGCGGTCTCCAAATTTTAAAACTTTCTAACCACAATCCCGGCTAGTTCTGTTTTGCAGTAGCTCTGAATAGTCCGTCTTCCCTGCCCTGCTCATGTCTGCTAAGGGGCTATTTCCTCTGTGTCAGTGACTGTCTGCTGTCCTCCCCTTGGGGCCCTGTGCCCTAGCTGTCCCTAACAGTACTCTTTCTTTTCCTTTGTTTTTTTGTTGTTTTGAGACGGGGTTCTGCTCTGTCCACTGACTAGATCGTGCTGCAGCCTGAAAATCCCGGGCTCCAGCCATTAGGCCTCAGCCTCCCAAGTAGCTGGGACTATAGGTGCCCACCACCAGGCCTGACTAATTTTTTAAAATTTGGTGAAGATGGCAGAGTACGATTTCAGTGAGAAATAGTTTAGCATTTCCCAGCGCACTGGTGTAGGGGGTTGAGGGCTTCAGTTCAGATTCGCATCGAGGCTGCGGCTGAAGTGGCCGCTTTGTGGATGGCCCGCAGCAGCCCACGTGTCACTGTGTTTTCCTTGTCTAGATCACTTTTGTGGCCAATATTGTGAGACAAGTGGTGAAGGGGCTCTCAGCCCCAGAGCAGCAGCTGAGTCCCCGCCAGGCCGTCCTGTTGTACCAGCAGCTTTCCATCCTCAGGAGCTGCCTGCAGCACAGCTGGACGCTGGGTGAGCACATCAGGACTGACCACAGAGAGGAGTTCAGGTGAGGCCGGCCGGGTCTGATCCTCGCAGAGCTCTGCTCATTCCTGATTTTCATGCAAACCTGCAACACATTCTGATATGTAGAAGATGAGGGGACAGAGAAATCTCATTTTGTTTTCAATAGTATTTCACGCTGATCTGAGCTAAGGTAGGACGTGGGGACCTCTAGGAACCATTGCTAATTTAAAGTATATTCCTGGGCCAGCAAAGACTAGAGAAACATCGAACTGTCTCCGCAGAAATGTTTCTCACTGACTTTATTGCAGCTTTTGTTCCATGGAAGTATTATAGTAGTGATTTTAATCCGCTGTGAGGGATTAAGAATACCAAACTTTATTGAAGGGGTTGATAAATTATGGATCATGAATTCAACAGAGTCATTAGAAAGAAACAATTGATAAAGGAGGAACAAGTCTGGCCGGGGCCTGGGGGTTTCGTTTGTGGCTTACCCCCCTTTTCAGTAACAAACACTGAGCAAGAGCAGAAGCCAGCGCTGGCTTCCTCGCCCGCCTGTGCTCCGGCAGCCCGGCGCTCAGCGGGCAGCCCGACCTGAGCACCTGTGACGTCTGGGCTATGATGCAAAGGGTGTAGCAGGTGTGGCTTTGCCGCTGGTTTGGATGCAGATGTAAAAGGCCATGGGGTGTACGTGATGGGAGTAGATTGGCTTTTCAAAACATCTCAGCCCAGTTTGTAGACTCCTGTTTTTGTTCCATGTGGTGTTAGCCTGGTGGTTCCGTTCTGGCTCGCGTTTGGCTTGGAGTTGATCCAAACACCCCAATTCCCACTCCTTCACACCCCGACCTCCTCACTTAAAAAAAAGGAAGGTAAAATTCAGTCAGCATGAGATCCACCACTCTAAAGTGTGCGGTTCTGTGGCTTCTAATACATGGCAGAGTGTTTGCCACCACCGCCACTTCCCAAGTGCAGAACACTTCCTTCACCCCCCCCAGAAAGTCAGTGTCCAGGGAGCAGTCACACCCTCGTCCCCCTCCCCCAGCCCCTGGAAGCTGCTGGTTTCTGTCCAGACATTTCATGCACATGAGGCTTCCGTGTGGGTAACATGTGGCCTCTCCCACTTACCTTAATGTTTTCAAGATTCATTCACGTTGTAGAACGTCACACCACCCAATTTCTAAAATGTAGTTATGAACTTGTAAAAATCAGGACAAGTGGAAAAAGATGGTGTCGTGCTCCTAGATGTCAGCAGCTAGGTGGGCTGACCAGCAGCCCCCGCTCCTCACTGCCCAGCTCGCCCCTCCCCCTCCTGCCTTGCACCCTCAGACCCACCTCCCTACTTCACCTCACCTGTGGGCACTTCTGTGTGTGGTCTTTGTTTTAAATGAGCGATTTTCTAAGTTGCTTCGCAGTAGAATCACCTGACTAACCACACATTGAGTACCCTCACTCCAAACACTGGAAACTCCAAATGCTCCAAAATGTGAAGCTTGTGCAGCCCCAACAGGAAGCTGGTAGGAAGCCAGCAGGAAGTGCCCATGGGAGGGTTTAGACCTCAGGTGCTCACACTGGGCATGCTCAGCCAGACAGTTCACCCAGATGTCCCCAAGTCTAAAATCTCAAGTCTAAAACACTTCTGGTCTCAAGCATTTGAGATAAGGGGATTCTCAGTGTGAGGTGTGAGACACAGACCCCCCGCGTGTCCTGGAGAGGTTCAGTCTGAGCTGGGCTGAGCCCAGGGCAGTGACTTTTTTGTAAGAAGCTCCTCAGGTGATCCTGGTGTGCTCCTTGGGTTGCAGTCCTTTTTGTAAGTCACGGGGGTGGGGGTGGGGGTGGGGTGGGGGGTGTGTGTGTGATTGAAGGCTTCTTCCTGTCCCATGAGCTTTCTGTTGTTGGTTTGAGAAGCCTGTCTGTCCGCCTGTTCTCTAAACCAATTAACAGGGAAGTGGATGAGAGAGCAACAGTTTTATTTACAGAAAAGTCAGTAATTCTGGAGAACAGCGAGGCTGTCTCTTCAAAGATCTAAAAACTATATTTCTAGTTAGTCACCACTTTACTGAGTGCACAGGTGCCCTGGGTCCTTGACTGGTGCTCCAGAGTCCATTTCCCCAACTTGTCCATGACAATGGCCTTGACAGTGAATACACAATCTCCAAGTGTCAGCACCTGGGCTGGTCCGGCCTTGTCAGGGCCTGACCAGCAGCACCTTGTATGAGATGGCCGTTCAGGTTAACGGTGGCTGGTGACATTTCATCTCTATGGACGGAGGTCAGGGGGTGACGGAACCCTCCCCTCTTGATTAGACTTTCTTTTCCACTTCCCACTGTGTACTGCCCGAGAGAGTAAGAGGCAGGAGCTTGGGTCAGACTGCGGTGAGGACACGCTGCCTTCCATATTAGTGCTTTGATGACGATGTTATTTATGAAGCTCACTGCCTTGGCTCAAGGGAAGTGTTCCAGTGAGCTGAAGGGCACACCTGCCAGAGAGTTCCTCGGCCACGGAGGGCAGAGGTGGGAGGACTGATGATTCCGCCGGGTCTGGTGGCCTCGGCTCCCACCCCCAGCAACCCACCCCGTGAGTGTGACGGCCGCGCTGTGACCAGTGTGACAATCGTAGCACTTAACGCTCTCTGTTTTCTTCCTGTGATTTTCAGGTACTTTATTCACATGCCAGCCTTGGAAAAGAGGCTCCCCGCATGTTACCCTATTACTCAGTCTACCACACAACTGTTCCGTGAAGTTCTGAAACTGGTTGAGCAGAAACAACATGTTAAATGTTAACAAGAGGACGAGATCTCAGTCGGGAGTCAGCTTAATATTTATGAGAAACGTTTTTGATTTATCCGCAAGTCTTATAAACACAGACTTTATGTGACTGGTTCATCAATGTCTGTCTAAGAGAAGTCCTTAAAATCTTTTACCTGATGCAAAAACAAAAGACCAACTATCTAAATCCATTCTCACAAAGCGGTGCTGAAAAACGAATGTTTCTCTAGAAAAAAGTTCCTAAAGACAAAAGAACTCTAAAGGGGACAGAAGCCCACGGAGAGCAAATGCGGAAAGTACAGTCCGATGAATTTCACAGGTGTGAAGCCTGAGACACCCCAAGATCAATAGTGGGGAATGTAAACTACAAAACGGTCGTTTGAGCAAGAGGATGGCGCCCTTCTCGCCCTGCAGGTCTCCAGGGACCAGCGTTGGTGGAAGAGTGGGCAGGAGAACGCGGCACAGCTGGGTAGGGGGCCAGCTCAGCTTTCACCACAGGGACACGAGCTTGCGCTTTCCTCAGGAAAGTGAACAGCCTTCTGCCCTCCGTTTCAGGCACCTGTAGTCTAATCTGAGAATCCCACCCTGTCCCTCCGAAGGAGAGATTGTCCACAGGCAGCTCCCACCATTTGACAAATGGCTTCTCCATAAGCATATTTCATGGCAACACACCAGATTCAACAATACTTAACTTGGTATCACTGCATGCGAGCTGTCTAATTCAGATGTCTAAGATCACAGCACTGGGCTCTCCACTCAGCTCACCCTGACTCGAGGGAGGACCTGAGAGGCATGTTGCCTCCTGGAAAAGGGCTCCTGAGCCCGACTGGCCTGTGCTGCACCTTGGAGCGAGGACCAGACTCACTGAGGACGTGTTTCTCCTGGTTCTGGCTGAGCTATCTGACGATAACCAGCTGTTTGATGTCGAGGGAGTCAGATGCCCTTTCCAGGCCTCGTCTGCTGTGAGGACGGTGTGGCTGGATGGTGTGAAGCCCCTCCAATCCTGACATCCTCTGCACGTGACAAGACACTTACTCTGCAATGGCATGACGAGGGTGTGGCAGCTCCCTGCACGCTGAGTTTCTGGTGGAGCACACCCTGTTGTTGTGTGCTCCCTGCACGCTGAGTTCTGTCAGAATGTACCTGACTCTATTCCTGTGGGGCTGATGCCAGCGGCATTTGTAGAGCTGATGACTGGACATCTGCCACCTTGCGTCTCTTCAGTCTAGTCTGTCGGACTCATGTGGGCTCCTTTGCATGGTCGGGGAGAGGGGCCAGAAATCAACACGCAGAAGGGTTATGCTGCTATGTTTCCCACTGTGTTTTTTGTTTGCATTATTGCCAAAGGCAAGAAGATCACTAAATAATCCGTCTCTAGTGATCAGACACAATTAACATGTTAGCTACTGATCTCAACTGCAAAGTAATTATTTTTCAGGAAATCTAAAGAAAAACCTTGAATATAAAAATTCCATCAATAACCTTTTAAGAATACAAAAGATCACCAAAAAGACAAGCAGGCATGGTTTCCAGGCTGGGTTCAGCCACCTTTATAACAAGCACTACCATCTACCACCTCTGCAGTCATCAGCTTTGCCATTAAAAAATACATATCTGGGGCAGCGCCTGTGGCCCAAGGAGTAGGGCACCAGCCCTATACCGGAGGTGATGGGTTTAAACCCAGCCCCGGACAAAAACTACAAAAAAAATTAAAAAATATATATATATAGGTTATATTTACAATATGTATAATGTAAGAATACACTTTTTTTTTTTTTTAGAGATGGAGTCTCACTTTGTCACCCTCGGTGGAGTGCTGTGGTGTCACAGTTCACAGCAACCTCCAATACTTGGGCTTAGGTGATTCTCTTGCCTCATCCTTCCAGGTAGCTGGGACAGCAGGTGCCCACCACAACTCCTGGCTATTGTTGTTGTTGTTGTTGCAGTTTGGCCGGGGCCAGGTTTGAACCCGCCACCCTCAGTATATGGGGCTGGCACCCTACTCACTGAGCCGCAGGCGCTGCCCCAGGAATACACATATTTTATAATAGGGGTAAGAGCATTGGTTTTGAGGCCAAGATGGTTGTGTTTCAGTCTCGGATCTGCACTGGTTTAGGCCTCAGGAAGGTGCTATCATCTCTCAGCTCCAGTTGGAGCAAAGGTAATGTGACCTGTTGCACAGAGCTGTCGGGAGACAGGAATGAGAAGGTGCAGGTGAAGCACCGCGTCCTGACCGCTGGGGAGGGAGGACTCAGGAGACTGTGGGAGGGGAAGCCAGAGACTGTACTGGTCTTACTTCTTGGCCCAGTCTGGGACCAGCCACTGGGCACATAGAACCCCAGACACATTGTCCAGCACTGAAGAGCACATCCATTTAAATATGGCGTTGAACTTTTAACTTTGCTTTAGCAGGAGTGTGGGTTAGGGGACACCTGACTCTACTGCTTGCCACCATGAAGGACTGTTAGCTTTAATTGATACAGAGGTAACATTGATGCAAGATCCATGTGGAAAATACTCCTCCCCAGGTGGATAGGAAAGCTTTGGGTCACATAAACTTTTTCATCCTTTGACAACTAACTGCTGACTGACCAAACTGAAATAACCGCTTTGCACCCAGAGAGTTTCTGACTGGTGCACAGGTTCTGCTGGAGGAAATACATGCTCCTTAATTTTACTGAGATCCAGGCACTCTAGATACTTTGTCCAAAGGAAAAAGCTTGAAGTTCTCGTAACTGATAACATTTTAGATACTTCCCTATGGAGTCCAGAGAGTACCCCTTTAGACGGTGTAGAGGAATTCTTGGGAGAACGTTAATGCATGTGCTGGAAGGGGGTTGGTAGGAGCAGCCTCAGGAAGGGGGTTGGTAAGAGTGGCCAAAGCTTCTTGGCTGCTGATACCCTCCACTCTGTGACATTATTGTTTTTTTCCTGAGGCTCAAACTACTTACTTATATTTAACATGGTTGCAGATTAGAGGTTCAGAAGAGAAGCTAAAATTTGTGGAGAGATAAATTTAATAGGATTTTTGTTTTAAAGAGTCGAGGTTTCACTTTGCTGCCCAGGCTGGAGTGCGGTGGCCATTCACAGCTGTGATCCTAGTGCACCCTTCACAGGTGTGATCCTAGTGCACCACATTGGACTTCTTCTTCTTTTTTTTTTTTTTTTTTTTGGCTGGGGCTGGGTTTGAACCCGCTGCCTCTGGATATGGGCCAGCACCCTACTCCTTTGAGCCACAGGAGCCGCCCACCACATTGGACTTCTTAGCTCAGCAATCCTCCTGCCTTAGCTTTCTGAGTAGCTGGCTAAATCATTATCTGATTTCTCTTTGTTTATCATGTTTACTTCTAAAACACAGTGCAGACTTGTAAGGTCAGCTAGAATAGTTAGAATTTGGTGCTTTTTTTTTTTTTTTTTTTGAGACAGAGCCTCAAGCTGTCCCCCTGGGTAGAGTGCCGTGGCCTCACAGCTCACAGCAACCTCCAACTCCTGGGCTCAAGCAAGTCTTCTGCCTCAGCCTCCCAGGGACCACAGGCACTCGCCACAACGCCTGGCTATTTTTTGGTTGCAGTCGTAATTGTTGTTTTGGTGGGCCCAGGTTGGATTCGAACCTGCCACCTTAGGTGTATGTGGCTGTGTCTTAGCCGCTTGAGCCACAGGCGCCAAGCCTAGAATTTGGCTCTTGAAGGAACAAGGAAGTAGCCATTCTCCCTCCAGTCAGAACAAGCACTTCTGTGCCTGCCGGCCTGCGGCTTTCCTCTGAGAGACGGCACCAGGATTTCTTGGCTAGAAATCTAGCTTAGTGTGACTCTGTGGGTAAGATGTGATGCCAGACCTTGCTCTGAGTCTTGCCTACCTTCCTACTTGTCATTAGACTTTTGGCAGCTTATTTAAATTTTTTTCACATCCTTCATTTTATCTATTACGATAAATAGCCCACCTTAAGGGTTTTGTGAATATGCATTAATTTATATGTAAACATCGTGTTCTGTGACATCAGGATGAATATACAGCATTGCCATTTTCAAATCCGAAACTGTTGCAATCCACAATTCTATGTGTATCAAATAAATAGAAACCCCTCAAAAAATGGTAGCTGTGACCTGCACAGAACACTCACTCGCTTAGTGACTTTGGACTCTAAACAAACAGCTTATGACGTACTCTCACTTCTCGCCTAGTCTGGCACTGTGGTAAAATGGCTTATTCTTGCTCAGATTTGGATAAACTATGTATCAAGTCATATAGTTCCATTATAAATTACGGTGTGGGTTTGACACCTTCAGAGTGGAATTGTTCACTGTCTTGACTGCCTTGCCCACAATGAAAACCTGTTCGGAGACAGTCTTCTCCCTGTCCCAGAACGGCACTCTCTCCACTCCGCTGCTCTAAAGAGAGACCCGAGAGATCTGTTTTCTCCTCCCTTCTCGTTCCCAAGTGCAACCCCCCGGCAGTGCTCACAGGCCACCTCTTCAGAACTCACTGCTGGGCCCCTGCCTGCCCGAGATCCGACCATCACCCTGGTTCAGACCTCCAGCACCTCTTGAAATAGCCTAGTTTGTCACTGTGACACCTAAAACTCATTCTCTAAAATGGCGGTGATCTTTCCAACAAGGAAGTCAATAGATTTTCTGAATTAATTAATTAAAACCTATGCATTGTCTTCCACCCCCCAGGATTAAATCCTTAACCCCGGCCTGCAAGGCCCTTCCTGGTGGCCTGGTGGCTGCCTCTGTGACCAAACCATTTTCCTCTGACTCCCCAGGCCCCAAACACAAGAGCACCCCAAGCTCTTTCAGGCTCTGGAAATTCACAGTGGTAAATGCTTTTCGTCAGAGCTTCAGCTCTTTGTTCAGGCTACCCGTCCTCCCACCTGCCCGCGCGGCCTTGCGGTGTGTCCGTTCCCCTGCTCAGCCTGTGCCAGGCAAGAACCGCAGAGTTCAAGGCTGTGTCTTGTTCAGCCTTGCTGCACCTGGAGCGGTGCCTGGCACAAACTGGATCGTCTGTTTTGAATA